TTGGACAAAATGCTACAAAATGAATCCAGTAGCATGTTAAATTCCACTTGATCTTGGTAAATAATCATTTTATCTCATGCATGTGAAATTAAGAAATGTGATACACCACATTAACAGAATGAAGAACACAAACTATATGATCATCTCAATAGATACAGAAAAAGCATTTAATAAAATTCATTCTTGACAAAAACACTAAAGATTAGGTATAGAAGGAACATAACACAATGAAGACCAACATTATGCTCTACTGGAAAAAGCTGAAAGCTTTTCTTGCTAGGATCTACAACAAGATTGACCTACTTTCAAAATTCTTATTCAGTGTACTACTAGAATTCGTAGCCAGAGTAATTGGGCAAGAAGAAAGATACAAATTGGAAAAGAGGAGGTAAAATTGTCACTGTTTTTACAGGACATGATTTTATATATAGAAAACCCTGGAGACTCTGCCAAAAAAGCCTACTAGAACCAATAAAACAAATTCAGCAAAGTTACAGGACGCAAGAGGAAAAAAAAAATTGTAGCATTGCTATACATCAAAAGCAAATTATATGAAAAAGTAAAAAGAAGAAAAAGTAATCCCATTTACAATAGCTACAAAAAAATGTATGTAGGTATAAATTTCACCAAAAAGTTGAAAGATCTCTGGAAAATTTATAAAGCATCAGTGAAAGAAATAAAGGATAAAAAATGGAAAGACATTTCATGTTCATACATTACATGAATCACTATTAAGATGTCCATAGTATCCAAAAGGACCCTTGAGATTCAGTATAATCCCTGTAAAATGACATTCTTCACAGAACTAGAAAAAAAATCTTAAAATTCATATGGAACCACAAAAATCCTAAGCAGTCAAAGCATTATTGACTAAAAAGAACAAGGTGGGAGGCATTGTACTGACAACAAAATCTACTATAAAGCTATAATAATCAGACCAACACAGCATTGGCATAAAACAGACATGAAGACCAATGAAATGGAATAGAGCACCTAAAGTAAACACACCCATTTACAACTTTTTTGCTAAGAACATGGATCAGAGAAAGGATAATCATTTTCCCCAGCACCGTTTATTGAAAAGACATCTAACACACACAAGAATGAAACTAGACCCTTATATCTAACAGCTACAAAAATCAACTCCAAATGGGTTAAAGACTTAAATATAAGGCTGTAGGTATTCTGACCCGGGAATCATTCCTCTGGTGAGCAAACTCCTGGGGGTAACTGGCATTCTGTTTCCCACACTTGGAGTGCTCAGCAGGTTCTCTTTGAAGCTAAGATAACTGATGCAGGTGCAGTATCTAGTTGCTATGGTAATGTCCTTCAAGAAGAGGATTTGTGTCTTATCAGCCTGGACTTTGATCTCAGATATTCAGCACCTAGGATTACAGTAATAATGTTAATGTAGTCATGGCACTAATGACCTAGCGCAGCTTTTTGATATAAATAAACGTGGCTGCTTGGAGGGACAGCTATTCTTTTCTTGCCTCTGCATCTTGTGTCTGTGTTTCCTTTATTTTCCTTACAACAGACCTGAACCTACTGGAAGAAAACATTTAGAGAAACTCATTTCCCATTGGAATGGGTTGTGCAGGTTGCAATTAGGAGTGAGAAGGTGGCCATAGTGACCATAATGTACTATATATTTCAAAGAGCTACACTAGAGAATTTTAAATGTTTCCACTCTAAATGGTGACTGTTTGAGGAGTTTCAAGGATAGATAGGCTCAGTGCTGTCCGTTACTGCTTCAGGGAAGTGATGTTTGAGAGTGGGATGAGGATGACCTTGAGGAAGTGTTGCCTGAGATAATTCCTAGTAACCAGTGCTGTGAAGATGCAGGTGGCATGTAGAGAGCCTCAGGGCATGGGGTAGCACTGTTTCAGAAAGGCTGGTCTGAGGAGGAGCATTTCCTGACCTGAGCTTCAGAGTTGAGGGAGGGGCAAGGTGAAGCATCCCTACCTGGAATGGGTTGACACATGTCAGCCAAGAGCTGGTCAGTGTGGCTGGATCTTGGAAAGTGCTTGCATGCTGCCTGGATTACAGTGGAAACTGAGTTATTTTAGAAGGGCCTAATGAGCTATGCATTAGGCTTGTTATATCTTTAAAATTTAATTTTGGGGTTGGGATGTAGCTTAGTGGTAAAGCACATGTTTAGCATGCACAAGGCCCTGGGTTCAATCCCTAGCATTCCTTCAGCCCCGACCTCTGGCTAACTGTGCAGTTATGGTAAAAAAAAATTAAAAAAAAAAACACCTATATGAAACCAACATACAGTTTGAAGAATAATGTAGCTATCCTTAGCTGTCTATGGGGTTTTGCGATATTAATACCTTTGTAGCTCTGACCGCATTGTCCTTTGTACCCAGAGGTAAGCATTGCATGGCTTTCGAGACTGTCCTAAGATTTTGTGACCCATGTAAACAACCTACTCAAGTACTCTAGCTTGTTTTGAACTTTATGTAAGAGAACTATACTATGTCGACGCTATTGTCTTACTGTTTCCCCCCCTCCAAATTGTTTCATCTGTGGTGACACGTGAGTGTACTGTATTTTTTATTTTACAGCATATGACTATACATACTATAATTCATTTGTGCTGCTGGCAGATATTTTGTTTCTCCTGCTATCTGGAGATTACAGTGATCTGGTCTGCTGTGGATCTCTTAGTACTGTGTTAACAAGTACCCATGGCATGAGTTGTTTTTTTTCAAATGAACTTACCTAGGAGGAAAATTTTTGTTGTAGGGTGTCATCCAATCTCCTAGAAAATGCAGCACACCTTAAAATAAGAGGAGTTACACTAATTCTTACTCTGAGGTGTAGGAGCATTGGTTCCTCCACATGGTCACACCAGCCCTTGGAATTGCTAGAATTAACTCTTGCTGATTGGATGAGTGTATTGAGGTATCTTGAGGTGTTAATGTTCACTTTAGTAGTCACTGGTGACTGGAGTACCTTTTCCTGCATCTCTGGGCTACTTGATTCTTTCAGATCCTTTTAGGAAGGGCCTATTCAAGTTCTGCTTAATGCTTTTATAAAAATATTTTTATTTATTTTTATGTGGTGCTGAGGATTGAACCCAGGGCCTCACACCTGCAAGTCAAGCGCTCTACCACTGAAGCTACAGCCCCAGCTTAGTGTTTTTTTAATTGAACCCAAATTTGACTAGTTTTTCTACGCTAGCTTTCTATTTTCTTTGTAAGTAATCGCCTCTTACCTAGTGGCTTAGAACAGCAGCCATGTACGTATGTCAACGTGGGTTGCAGCCTGGGTAGCTCTTACCTCTGGACAGCCTTCACGCATGTGCAGGGAGACTGCTTTTGCAGTTTGCAGCCAACTGCTGGGCCAGCGAGGGGTGACCAAGCCACACAACTTTTATCAGCCAGCAGGCAGGCGGGCCTGCGCATGTTTACATGGAGGACAGTTTTGAGTCGAGCAGAGGTGTGTCAAGTTTCTTGAGGTGAAGGCTCAGAATTGGCTAAGTGCCACTTTCCCCATATTCTGTTGGTCATGGGACCACCCCAGATTCAAGGGCTGGGAAACACTAGTTATCCTGGGGAGCTGCAAAGTCACATGGTGCAGATGTGCCTGCCAGGCTTGCAGTCCCCCTGGTTGTCCTTTTCTTCCATCCTCCAAGGACAAGAAACTATAATCCTGTGCCATCTTCTAATGGTTTCACAGTTTTGCCTTTCCCATTTAGGTCCTTCAGTGGTTTTATAATTTTAAAGAGAAAACAAATGTGGAACCAGCAAAACAAATGTTAATTTCATATCAATTTTCTTGATATGAAATTTAACCTAATGTCCTCATTGTGCTGAGACAGGAGCTGGAGGAAACATGGGAGTCATTGAGCAGATTCTTATAAAGTGCTTTAGATGAGAGGAATGCTATTGTACTGGTCAGGGTGTGGGCTTTGGACAGATGGCTCTTGAATAAAATCAGTCCTTGACTGTTGTGGTAGCTGTGTAACCTTGTGCAGATCACTTAACATCTCTTAGCTTGAAGTGTTTGAAAAGTGGAGATAATCCATTTTATATCTCTCTTGAGAATGTTGAATGAAGATACACTGTGCAAACGACCCGGCATGGGGAATGGCCATTGAAATAAACGTTCACCTATTTTATTATTTTCATAGTGCTGAGGATCAAACTCGGGGCACTGTTCATGCCAGGCAAGTGCTTTACTTCTGAGCTATATCCTCAGCTCAGTAATTGTCTCACTGGGCAAGTCACTAAACCTGAGTGAGCATAGGGTGTGTGTGTGTGTGTGTGTGTGTGTTTTGTGTGTGTGTGTGTGTGTGTGGTATTGGAGGTGGAATGGAGGCCTTTACCTGATAGGCAAGTGCTTTGCCACTGAGTGCCCCCCTCCCCCAGCTGTTAAGAATAGTTTTCCACTGTTAATGAAAAGAATTGACATCTATAGTTGTTTTACATAATTTTTCTTCTACTTTGTCTTGTCTTCCAGTTACCCACCCCCCCAATGCTGTGTGTTGGTGTTTTTTTTTGTTTTTTTTTTTTAATGTTCTGAGTCTTCTGGGTTTTTCTGGCTGTAAGGGTCATTTGGCAGCTGTTTCAGAGCACCTGCGTGGCTGACCCTGGATTGTGAGACCCTCAGATTCCATGCTGTGTCTGGCAGCCATATTTCCTTGAGGGCCCATGTTCTATTATGTGTCTGCCCTAAGTGGATCCTGAGCTTAAATGGAGCGAGTTCTGACTTGAGCCAGCAGGGACAGTGCTTTAGGGGAATGGTGTGAAATAATCAGACCTGGGAAGGGGAAGGTGAAGGTGAGGAGGGAGTAAACGATTCTCAGTGACTTGTTCTGTGCCAGCGCATGGGCTAGACAACAGGTGTCCAGAGAGAATTCCTGGCTGAGGGCGGCGGGGGTAGGCTTGGCCTTGGCGGACTGAGTGGAGAGGTGCTCTGCAACTCTGCCCATCTTCTAAGCCTTGGCTGAAAATCAGCCCCCAAGTAATCATTGTCTCTTTCTTTTCTAGATCTTTCAGCTGCCCAGCGAAAGTTTGCTCATTCACTCAGAGACTTCAAGTTCGAGTTCATTGGTGACGCTGAGACTGATGACGAGCGCTGCATAGGTATGAGCACAGACCTTTGGTTTGCTTCCCTCTGCTGTGGCCACCAGATACTCACTCCTTTCTCTTTGCAGATGCCTCCTTACGTGAATTTTCAAATTTTTTGAAGAACCTGGAAGAACAGAGAGAAATCATGGTAAGTGAAGAGAGACTTAAATTAACAAGTCAGATTTCAAAGGGCGGAGGGAAGTCTGGGCTTAGAAACTAATTGTGGTAGAAGTTCTGATGCAGTTTAGGGTGGGGGTGGGTAGTAGGGCATTTAGTGGGAAGAACTATGGATGAGGTTTCGGGATCCCCCCTTTTAGTGCAGCTCTGACACTGACTGTGGTTGGCTCCGGGACAGGTGTCTGTACCTTTTGACCAAAGCCCTGTATCTTCATCTGTGAAATGTAGGCTTGGGTGCTTCTTAGCTCTGTTAGTAGCTGAACACTTTATTTAATCCCATTTCATAGAAGCACATGTAGAGCCTTCACATTTTACAAACCTGAAAGCAGAAAAGTTTCTTTAGGGGCAGAGGAACAGTGGGGTGATGTGAGAGCCTGACTCATAGCTCTGCGAGTTGCTAGGCCATGTGGGGAGGACAGAACTCAAGTCTGGAAGTCCCTGCAGTCCCACTTGGTATGGAAGCTGTGATCATAGCACTAACAAGAACATCCCCCTCTATCAGGTGCCCCCAGGTGCCTGGTGCTCTGTGACTGGCTTCAGCAGATGATCTTATTTAACATGGGCTTGGCAATGAAGTTGGAGGATATTAAATAATATTTGCCTGCCTGTCTTAAAAGGTTGCATTTTCTTCCTGTTGACATTTGTTAAGTCAATCAAGATTTACTGGAATATGACACACTGTTCATAGTGGGTTTTTTCAGGCTTTTAAAACAAAAGCAAAACCAAAAACAAACTCTTTCTACTAGGTTCTTGAGAAGGAGCACTACCTAGAATTGTAATTGTTGAAGTGTAAGTGTGGGATGGTTTCAGATGCAGTAGTAATACTGATGTTGACCATGAAAGTTGAGATAATTAACCTTGACTGTTTCTCTAATTATTAAATCATTTAATTTTCACATCAGCTTTTTTAAGGTAGATAGTGTTAAAGTACCTTAAGTTATTGTGCCTCTGCTTCTTCATTTATAACTTAACAATCACATGGCAAAATGAGAGAGAGCTGGGACATGAAAAAAAACATCAGAAATTTGACCCCTCCAACCCCCAACTTGCAGCCAGCTTCAGAGAGCTGTCTGTGTGTGTGTGTGTGTACACACATGTATGTGTGTGTGCACACACATGTATGTGTGTGTGCAGGGGATCCCAGGGACTCATTAAGGTGTTTTAATTTCTCAGGAGGTGGCTGGTAGGTATTTCTTTCTTTTGGGTAGAATAATAATAGAGGCAGAAGTAGAAGAGGAGGGTAACTTTTATTTTGGGGGGCAGGAGTATGGGTGGCACACGTAGGATTGAACCCAGAACCTTATAGGTGTTAAACAAGTGCTTTATCACTGAGTTACTTCCTATCCCTTCTTAAATTTTATTTTAACACAGGGTCTTGCCAAGCTGCTCATGCTGGGTTGAACATGTGATCCTCCTGCCTCAACCTCCAGAATAGCTGGAATTACAGCTGCTTACCCCAGTGCTAGGCTAAGAGGATACTGATTTTGATTTAAAAAGTGACAGACAAATGTGCTCTGAAAGTCCTGATATAATTTGCACTGTTCCCTAAGCTCTGAGATAATTGGTGAATGTTGGAAATTTCATAGAGGAGATATGAAAATATTGTGGTCCTATTAGGTTTTTCCCATTAGGTACACATTGACAGCTACTATTGTTACTCTGTAGTCACTGGATTTTCAACTATTTAAGGAAGACTAAACATGATAGTAGAGAAAATGGCATTATGACATCTTTCTATTGCATGAACTGGTGTGCATGGGTGATGAGGATTCTTTAATAGTGTCAGCTTTTTTTCCCTCAGAACTCTTGGATATTTGCTTCTTTTCTGGGACCCTGAGCATCCAGCAAATATTTATTGAGCTCCTTCTACATTCCAGTTATTGTTTAGAATCTGAGGACACAGAGGCAAACAGGTCAGAGTCCTTGCCTTCATGGACATTACCTTCTAGGGAGAGGAGGTGATAATGAATAAATATCATAAGGTCCTGGGCAGTTATAAACAAAACAGAAACATTCTGGGGCAGACATTAGTGCTACAAAATGAAATAAAAGCAGGGTGAAAATCAGAAGTAGATCAAGTGTAAGGGTGCCATGGCACATGCCTGTAATCCCAGCCGCTCAGGAGGTTGAGGCAGGAGGATTATGAGTTCAAAGCCAACCTCAGCAATTTAGCAAGCCCCTAAGCAACTTGTTGAGACCTCAAAATAAAAAATTAAAAGGGCTGAGGATGTGGCTCAGTGGTTAAGTGCCTCTGGGTTTAAACCTTGGTAACCCCTCCCCCAAACCAAAAAAAAAAAAAACAAAAAAAAACTCCCAAAAGACCCACTACGTTAACTCCTGAATGGTAAAGTGCCAAAGGCCTTTTCAGAGGTCAGTACAAGGCATCCACCTGGTCTCTGCAGGAGAGTTCTGGGCAGAGTGGGCTGGATTTAGCTCTATGGAAATACCATATGACCACGGTCTATTTTGATAGTTGATTTGTCTTATGTTCCTTGGAATGAATTGATAAGGTCAGAGTGTCACATGGTCTTAGACTGTATGATATAGGTGGCATGGTTCTTAGAGTTGTGTTAGATGACTACTTGATTTAATCTTCTCTGTGATGGTGGTTAGTAGGGTCTGTTTTAGGTGGGACCAGACAATAAGGTTGAGTTCGTGGTACAGGTTAAATGTGAGAATAGGATGGTGTCTACCGATGGCCATGGACCCGAGAGGAATGGCACAGTGTGATGCAACCTATTTCTGGGAACAGAGACATTCCGCTGGGTAGTAGGAGCTCAGTGGAGAGCAGCTACTGCCAAGAAGAGGATTAACAGAACACCCGTAATGCTCTCTTCCTTTTTAGTTTGAAAATTGTAAGCTTTTATGAAAATAGAGGGGAAAATACATTAAAACTACATATACTCAGCAACCTGCTTCTCAGCCAATCCTATTTCTCCAGAATCCCTCATTGCTTCCTCCATTGTTTTGACAGAAAGTCCAGGTTCCTTTCATCCACAAATAGCTCAGCAGATTTCTCCCAAAGGTGACAAGTGTTAAACAACAGCATCCTTATCACCAGCAAACAATAATTCTTAATTTCACTAGTAATTGAGTCATGTTCACATTTTCCTCACATTCATTGAAAATCTGTCTCCTCCCCTCTCCTCCGCAACTAACAGTTGGTCTAGACTCAAATGAATTACATTTGATGCTTAACTTTCTAAGTCACTTTAAATCTGTAGGTTGTTCTTATTTTTCCCCGTGACAAGAATTTCTAGTGCTATTCTGTTTTTATTAAAAAAAAAAAAAAACTTTTAGTACTTTCCTAAATGATTTAAAATAATTAATAACAGCTGAAGTGACATTTAACCCATATGATGTTGTTGGTGTCTCATCTTGATATAGTCAGCAATCACTTTGTTTTGGTAGTCATGAGAATTGTGTGGAATCATTAAGGCTGCATTTGCTTCTTCAAATACCTTTGAACACTTATGCATTCCGAGACACCAGCCTTCAACCTCAACATATACCGTCTAAAGCAATTTCTAGCATCGTCCTAGGTAGTAATGGGAAAAAGTTAGTGAAAATGGACTAAGGGTAATCACAAAGGTATTGAGTGTGGCCGCCACAGAGAGGGCAGCAGCTAAGCCTGCGACTGTGAGGAAGATGGGAAGGTGTATCACTGGAGCTGGGAGTTTGTGGGGTGGAAATACAGGGGAGCGCCTTTGGACTGTTCTGCAAGCTCGTGTCTCGTGAACACGGTGACAAGGAAGAACTTGAAGTAGCTAAAATGGATGTCAGTGCATTCTGAGAAATTTCTAAAAACTTGTTTTACTTAAAATGTGTGCAAATCCAGCATGTTAAAAGCCACAGATGAAAAAAGGAATACAAAATGACAATGGTCAGATGGAAGTAGAAGCGGTCTAAGGTGGCTTCCAAGAAATGAAACGGAATTCTAATGATGGCTGGTTCTCTAAAAGTAATTGGCTCAGTACTTCCTGAAGTCCTAATTAAATAATGGTGGAGCATAATTGGGTATTTATCAATTAAGGCCGAGTCATTAAAATTTAAAAAAATCCAGTATGCTTTAGAAGGCAAAGATTGATGCCAAATAACTTAGTTTTCTATATTCTAAATAAATGTTAAGTAGGACTTTATATTTTAAGGGGATAAAGTCATCTATCTGGAAGCTCAATCTGGAACAAGTTCCTGTTTATTTTTATTTTTGCTTTAAAATATATTTTAAATGTTGATAAGGATGAACAAATAGATTTTCAAAATGTTCATAAATTTTAAAAATGAGAATTGGGTACATTGGTGATTCGTTATGTTACCATCCTAGTTTTTGAGCTCCTAAAACATTTCTGTGACAACAAATTAAATATCATGTGTACATGTATTTTTTTCATAGAGTTCACTCAGAAAACTGAATAGTCCTTTTTCTTAATTGTAGCCTCTTTTTTGAGTATTCTGATTGTATGTAATATTTGAGTTCATTTTGACAAAGTCATACATTTGAGGAATTTGATTTTAATCCCCACCCTCCCCCCCTTTTTCTCCCCTCATCCCTGCTGTACTTATCTTCCTTTCACTTCTTGGTTTTGAGCCAAAAACTATATATATCCACGTGCCTCATGTGTATGCCCAAGCAGGCTGTGTTTAGTTCCAGTATCACCATGTGCCAAGCACAGGCTGTAAAGATAAAGACCTGTTTCCTTCCCTTGAGTAGTTGGCTTCCCCTGGGGGAGATGGCAATTTTTGTAGTAATGAAGGGATTGGAAATTCGAGGTAGGCCTCCTGGAGAGGCGAATCCTGAGGGTGAATCAGAGTTAGCCAGGTAAGGAAAGATGAATGGTAGTGCAGATTTCCTCCCTGAGGGGAAAACTGGTTGGACTGAAAGCATCTGTTTGTATCCCTGCACCCCACCCCCAATGTCCAGTTCTGTGATATCAAAATGGATTTGGGGACTGTGGTCTAAAGCATGTGCTT